GAATGTAGTGGAGGAAGAGAAGAAAAAGTGGGGAAGGAGAGTATAAAGCATACCCCCCCCCACACACACACAACAACAAGAGGCCCAGATGGGAAAAAAGGCTGCAGTTGCCAATTACACATTATACCTCGCAAAAATAAGGCACCTGAAGGCACAGAGATAAAAACTAAAAATAAAATGGTGCATTACATTTGCTGTTACTTAGAGCATTCGCTCGGGAAGAACGACGTGCGTGCGTGAGTGAGCGCTCGTAGGGAATGGGGAGTGGTTGAGAGGCGAGATGGGGGGAAGGGGAGAGGGGAGAGAGGAAAGGGTAAGTGGGAGAGAGGAGGGGGAGAAGGGAGAGAGGAGGGGGAGAAGGGAGAGAGGAGGGGGAGAAGGAAGAGGGAGAGAGGAGGGGGAGAAGGGAGAGAGGAGGGGGAGAAGGGAGAGAGGAGGGGGAGAAGGGAGAGAGGAGGGGGAGAAGGGAGAGGGAAGATATGGGAGGGGGAGGATAGAGGGGAAAGAGGAATGGGGAGGAGAGGGAAAAGAGGAAAAAGGAAAGGGGAGGGGGAGAGGGGGCAGAGGAAAGGGGAAGGAGAGAATGGAATGGAAATGGGAGAGGGACGGAGGAGATTTGGGAAGAGAGGAGGAGGGAGATAGGAGAGGAAAGCAAGAGTGAAGAGGGAGAGAAGGTGAGGGATAGAAGGAGGAGGAAGAGGGTGACTGTGAGAGGAAAGAAATCTTATAGTTTACCTCTCTCTCTATCTCTTTCGCTCACTCTCTCTCTCTATCTGTCTATTCACTCCTTTCTCTCTCTCTCCTCTCGCCCTCTATCTCTCACCCTCTTCCCTGCTCTCTCTTTCCTCCCCCCTTTCTCTTTCTCTCTCTCTCTCTCTCTCTCTCTCTCTCTCTCTCTCTCTCTCTCCCTCTACCTCTCTCCTCTTCTCTCCCTCTCTCTCTCTTTTAATTTATGGTGCGAATTTTTTTTTCTTTGCAGATAAAATGCGTACTTTTGGAGAGAATCTGTTGAACTGAATTAGAAAACCATATCGATTTTGCTCCATATGGAAGGAAGGCCGTTGCTTTGGACCTTAATTAACAGTCAAAGGCACAGAGGCGGGGGGGTGGGGTGGAAGGAGGGAGGGTGGAAGGAGGGAGGGAGGAGAGGAGGAGGGCAGGGAGGGAGGGAAGGAGGGGGGAAGGCAGGGAGGGAGAGGGATGAAGGAAATAAAGATGTACAAATTGGAGGAGGAAGGATGAGGGAAATGGAGGGAGGGAAAGAGAGAGAGAGAGAGAGAGAGAGAGAGAGAGAGAGAGAGAGAGAGAGAGAGAGAGAGAGAGAGAGAGAGAGAGAGAGAGAGAGCGAGAGAGAGAGAGAGAGAAAGAGAGAGAGAGAGAGAGCGAGAGAGAGAGAGAGAGAGAGAGAGAGAGAGAGAGAGAGAGCGAGAGCGAGAGAGAGGTGAAAGATGAAGATCAAAAGACAAAACTAAAATAGAAATAGCAAAACTTTTGAGATTATTATAACTCCTTCTACAAAGAAAAGAAAAAAGTGTCTATCTACCTTATCTTGTTAATACTAGAAAATCCCTTCAGTGATGTTCTCGAATTTAGAAAAGAAGGAAAGACACTTGGTTAGGCAAGCTATATCTTTGGCTAACTAGCAGAAGAAGAAGAAGACGAAGGAAGAAAAATAAATATATACAGATCATGACAAAAAGTGAGTAAAATTATATACAGGAAAATAAAACCGAGATAAAACCAGCATCGGGATTCATTCACTCCACTGCTGTTAGCATCATCAGCAACTTTTCGGAAAAAAAAATCTCCCTGATGCAGATTCCCTTTCAGTTTGGGATTTCTCCTTCGGCGTCTCCACTGAGGATATCCTGCGAGGAACTATTTGTTTCAGACGATACTCGGGCGGTGGCCTCATATGGGGGTGGGGGGGTGGAGGCGGGGGCAAGGGTTGATGAGGGAGGGGTGAGGGAGGGGTGAGGGAGGGGAGAGGGAGGGGTGAGGGAGGGGTGAGGGAGGGGTGAGGGAGGGGTGAGGGAGGGGTGATAGAGGGAGGGATGATGGAGGACTTGGCGTATCCTTCGACCGAAATTCTGAATTCATAAGCAACTCTGGAATATCTTTCATGTGAACAACGCGGAAAGAAGCGTTTTAGATCACGCTGTTTCGTAGATTGGAACACTTACAGCAGTTTCGAGATCCGGCTCGACCCTTCTCGAAATTTTTAGATTAATTTATTTCATATTATTATTATAATCAAATTTTCCGTCGTTTCCCAGTCTCAACAACAACAAAAAAGAGAGAGAAGGAAAAACCCTGTTCCCAGGAGACGGCCAAACTTATAATCAGAATTCTTAATTGCAAAAAGTCTCACGAAACAAGACACCAACAATTTCTAAGGAAATGTTGTAATCTTATTATTCCTCATCGCGAGCAAAAGGTTGAATGCAGTTATCTCGAAACCCGTTCTTTGTAAATACCTTTCTATTAGTCGTGTTTTGGCTTGCTTCAATTTTTTTCTTTTTTTTTCCGTCTGTCAAGTCTTTCTGCTTTTCATATCGGTTTAGTATTTCTCCTTGTGGTTTAGCAATTTTCCAATTCTTTTAACGCTACCAATGTAAGCATTTTTGGGATTTTTAAAGATTTTACTGTCCTCATGGTTCACCGGTTTACTGTTAAGAATTCGAAAAAGATGAAACAGTGATGAAAATTTGTGTGTGAATTGTCTCTGGCAAGGAATCAGTTTCAGTACATTTTGATTGTAATTTAGGTAGGTAGACGCTGTAATCACTGATAGAATATTTAAGCCAAGGAGATCAGAGTAGATTCCGCCTATATATATATATATATATATATATATATATATATATATATATATATATATATATATATATATATATATGTGTGTGTGTGTGTGTGTGTTTAAACATTTTTGATCTTGATTTTTAGAGAGCTTCATTTATATATTCCGTTCTGCATCAGAAAACTTTAGACAGATATTTAAAACAACTTATCGGAAAATGAATTTTTAGAAGATATAAAAAAGTCCTCCAAAGGTAAAACAAACAAAAACAAGAAAACAACGGACTTAAAGACAAAAGACTGCTGTCCCGCGCGAATGCGAGCTTCTCCCAGATACAAAGGGATAAGGACTTAAAACCTCCTCCGTCGTATATTTTTAGAACAACAACTAAAACCTATGGCTATTTTCGTCAAGGTTGCCTATGAGCCTTATCTATGACCCAAAGACGAAGTAATGAAGATCATGATGGTTATTCAAGTAATAAAAAGATGCTTAGGTAGTTAAATACCCTGGGTCAGTTACAGGGGGATCGCGGTGATAATACAAGCACAATTAATATTGTAAAATACTTCAGGTTTCCACATGAACTAATGAGCTACTTTTACAGAGAGGGGCGGGGCAAAGGTGCCAGATTAGTACATATGCGTAATTAATACACGTGACATATGCAATATTGCGAATATAAAATTTGTTTGAAAATCGCTTTGATAATATTTCAGTACCATAAGACCACTACATGTCACATTTATTACGTGTTGACAAGAAATGACTTTAATATAAGAGAGAGAGAGAGAGAGAGAGAGAGAGAGAGAGAGAGAGAGAGAGAGTAGAGAGAGAGAGAGAGAGAGAGAGAGAGAGAAGGAAAGAGCGAGAGAGGAGAGAGAGAGAGGTGGAGGCAGGGAGGGAGGGAGCGAGAGAGGGAGGGAGGAGGAAGGGAGGGAGGGGGAGAGAGAGAAAAAGAAAGATGAGAGAGAGAGAGAGAGATGAGAGAGAGGCTGACGATCGAGAGAGATGACGAGAGAGTCGAAGCTCGGAGAGACGAGAGAGAGAGTGAACTACACATGAGAAAGACGAGACGGAGAGAGAAATAACAAATAGATAGACAGAGAGCAGAAACAGAGAGAAATTAGACGAGAGAGAGGGAGACGGAGCAGGAGAAAGAGGGAGAGAGAGAGAGGAGAGAGAGAGATGAGGGAATCATGAGGAGCGACGAAGAATCTCTGATGAGAGAGTATGTTGAGAGAGAGAGAAGAAGGAGGAGTTGGAGGAGACTGGAAAGAAGAGAGAGAGACGAGGAGATTCGAGAGAGAGTAGAGAGGTCCCGAGAGAGTTATGAGAGAGAGAGAGGAAGAGTAGAATAGAGATAGGAGAGAGGTGGACGGAGGCAGGGAGGGGAGGGAGCGAGAGATGGAGGGAGGGAGGAAGGGAGAGAGGGGCGAGTTAGAGAGAGAAGAAGAGAAAAAAGAAAGGAGAGGAGAGAGAGAGGAGAGAGAAGGAGAGAGAGAGGAGAGAGAGGCGAGAGGAGAGAGAGGAGACTGAGATGAGAGAGAGAGATGAGAGAGAGAGAGAGGGAGAGGAGAGAGAGAGAGAGAGAGAGAGGGGAGAGAGAGAGAGAGGAGAGAGAGAGAAATGAGGAGAAGAGATGAGAGAGATTAGATGAGAGAGAGAGAGAGGAGAGAGATGAGAGAGAAGAGAGAGAGCGAGGAGAGATGAGAGAGAGATGAAGAGGAGGAGGAGAGAGGAACGAGTGAGGGAGAGAGAGACAGCAGAGCAGAGCAGTAGAGAGATGAGAGAGATGAGAGAGAGAGGAAAAGAGGAGAGAGAGAAGAGAGAGATGAGAGAGAGGAGAGAGGAGAGAGAAGCAGAGAGAGAGAGAGAGAGAGAGAGAGAGAGAGAGAGAAAGAGAGAGAGAGAGAGAAGAGAACTGGATAAAAAAGAGAAAGAGAAAGATAGACGGACAGATAAACAGATAGCCATCAAACCAGAAAGGGATACACTTGCAAAACAGAAATACTCTCGTTCCCAGAATCCAGGTTTGAGCTCGTATCCCATGCATCTCGACGCAAATAACCTGTAAGGCTTAATTCAGCGTGGAAGGCAAGGCGCAAGTAGCCCTTTTGATGTCCTTGTCTTTGCCTCTTGCTTTCAATCGCTCTTCCTCTTGTGTGTCTCTCTCTGTCCCTTCTTTCTAGCGTCTTTTTAGCCTTTTATTTTTTTATTTTATTCTATTTATTATTTCTAAAATTCTTTGTGTGTTTTTGTGTGTGTTTCTTTTTTCTTTATTATTTCTTTATTTATTCATTTATTTTTGTATTAATCTTTGTGTGTTTTCTTTTTTTCTCTCTCTCTGATTTTGTCGATCTTCGCCTTTTTGCTTTTGCTTTTCACTTTCTTTTAGCCTAATTTTCCTCTTCTCTGTTGTTTTTTTTTGTTGTTTTCTTTTATTTTGGATTTTTTTTCTGAAAAAAATCAAGAGGGAAAAGGAAGAGAGAGAAGAGAGGATAGGTGAATAAGATAAATAAGGTGGATGAGATGGGTGAAGAAAAATGAAGAAGAAACAGAGGCGAAAAAAGAAAGAAGAAAGAAAAGGTGGATAAGATAATAATAATAATAATAAAAAAACAAGTTGGAAGGACGGAGAGGAGGGGAAGAAAGAGAGAGAAAAAAACAAGGACAGAATAAACGATGGAAGATGAATAATAAAAGAAAATAGGTGAAAAAAAAGGAAATAGATAAAAAAACATCAACAGATAATTAAGTGATTGAATTAAACGAATCCTCTGATATTAATTAGAAAATGCATTCCGTACCTTCCAGTAAAACGGAAAAAAAACAGATCAGCAATCTACCAGAAAAAAAACATGCCACAATAAAAATAAAAATACTGATAAAAGAATAAAAAGAAAACTTCTAAAAAAATAACTACATCAAATATTAATTAAAAACAAAAACAACAACACTTCTTTCCTTAATCTTACCCACCCTTGACCCTTGACCCCTGACCTTACCTCAGGGAAGGGCGAGCCGCGTGGGAACCTCGGGTCATGCGAGGGCGAGGTCACCCGCAGAGTCTGGCGCGAGTGGGCGATCCAGGCGCACATCCACGTGCCCGGCCCCACGTCGCACGCCCACCGATCGCCGCCCGTGACCTCCGTCCTGCGGGTGGGGGTAGAGAGGGGGGGGGGTCAGAAGGAGGCGCCGGAGACCAGGGTTCGAGGACTGGGCAGGGCGTTTCCGGTCGCTTCTCTGTTTCTTCCTAGTTCATATTTTTTGTTATTTATTTTTCTCTTTTTCTTCCTCTCTCTTTTTTCTTTTCTCCCTCTTTTGCTCTCTCTCTCTCTCTCTTTATCTCTCTCTCTCTCTCTCTCTCTCTCTCTCTCTCTCTCTCTCTCTCTCTCTCTCTCTCTCTCCCTTTCTCTCTCTCTCTCTCTCTCTCTCTCTCTCTCTCTCCTCTCTCTCTCTCTCTCTCTCTCTCCCTTTCTCTCTCTCTCTCTCTCCTCTCTCTCTCTCTCTCTCTCTCTCTCTCTCTCTCTCTCTCTCCCTTTCTCTCTCTCTCTCTCTCTCTCTCTCTCTCTCTCTCTCTCTCTCTCTCTCTCTCTCTCTCTCTCTCTCTCCCTTTCTCTCTCTCTCCCTTTCTCTCTCTCTCCCTTTCTCTCTCTCTCTCTCTCCCCTTCTCTCTCTCTCTCTCTCTCTCTCTCTCTCTCTCTCTCTCCCTTTCTCTCTCTCTCTCTCTCTCTCTCTCTCTCTCTCTCTCTCTCTCTCTCTCTCTCTCTCTCTCTCTCTCTCTCCCTTTCTCTCTCTCTCTCTCTCTCTCTCTCTCTCTCTCTCTCTCTCTCTCTCTCTCTCTCTCCCTTTCTCTCTCTCTCTCTCTCTCTCTCTCTCTCTCTCTCTCTCTCTCTCTCTCTCTCTCTCTCTCTCTCTCCCTTTCTCTCTCTCTCCCTTTCTCTCTCTCTCTCTCTCCCCTTCTCTCTCTCTCTCTCTCTCTCTCTCTCTCTCTCTCTCCCTTTCTCTCTCTCTCTCTCTCTCTCTCTCTCTCTCTCTCTCTCTCTCTCTCTCTCCCTTTCTCTCTCTCTCCCTTTCTCTCTCTCTCTCTCTCCCCTTCTCTCTCTCTCTCTCTCTCTCTCTCTCTCTCTCTCTCTCCCTTTCTCTCTCTCTCTCTCTCTCTCTCTCTCTCTCTCTCTCTCTCTCTCTCTCTCTCTCTCTCTCTCTCTCTCCCTTTCTCTCTCTCTCTCTCTCTCCTTTCTCTCTCTCTCTCTCTCTCTCTCTCTCTCTCTCTCTCTCTCTCTCTCTCTCTCTCTCTCTCCCTTTCTCTCTCTCTCTCTCTCTCTCTCTCTCTCTCTCTCTCTCTCTCTCTCTCTCCCTTTCTCTCTCTCTCTCTCTCTCTCTCTCTCTCTCTCTCTCTCTCTCTCTCTCCCTTTCTCTCTCTCTCTCTCTCTCCCTTTCTCTCTCTCTCTCTCTCTCTCTCTCTCTCTCTCTCTCTCTCTCTCTCTCTCTCTCTCTCTCTCTCTCTCTCTCTCTCCTTTCTCTCTCTCTCTCTCTCTCCCTTTCTCTCTCTCTCTCTCTCTCTCTCTCTCTCTCTCTCTCTCTCTCTCTCTCTCTCTCTCCCTTTCTCTCTCTCTCTCTCTCTCTCTCTCTCTCTCTCTCTCTCTCTCTCTCTCTCTCTCTCTCTCCCTTTCTCTCTCTCTCCCTTCTCTCTCTCT